CTAAACAAGCAGAATCTGCAGAAAGAGGTGAAAACACAAGTTGTGTACACACATTGCTGACTCCAAAAACCAATGACATTGACCCATTTCTGAAAAAAAAAGCTACATGCTGTTCATGATAAAATACTGCTGTTTTGACCATGGACAGTCAATTTATGCCTGCCTGTCCATCTCCCCTTTAACATAAAAATCACACAGGCACCAACCTCTACCACAAAATGTCCTGAATGGAATTACTGCCATTGTAGGCAGTATTGGGCATATTCTTCCAGTAGTTAAATCCTCGATTCAAGCATACTTGACAGTAGCAATAGATGTTTCAAACCAATGGGGCCACCAAAGTGGGCCTGATTCTATTATTAGCTGAAGTCCACATATTTTTCCATAAGTCGACCAGAGGAATAGGCTCGCTTTGACAGCTTAAGCTGGTTGAGTGACCTATTAACACTCATTTGAATTACAAATGATTGAAATAGGTTGCCTGTCTGATTTTTTTTCTTCCTGAGCAATAGAGGGTTATGTCGATGTTCTGACTTCTATCCTGGTAAAACCTTTCAGGTTCTTGTCATTTATTAAAACACCAAGTGGTGGCACTGGCCCAAAGCAGCTTCAAATAAAAAAAAAACAAATGCAGTACTCTGGATGCTAACATGAAATTTACTCTTCAAACCAATTCAACAATATCTCCCTAGTGTGGTTACAATGTCATCACTGTGCCATCCGATTTAACCTCGAGCACACTTCAAACAGAGATAGTCAAATTCTGAGAATCACCGATCACGGTACTACTACTAAATTTAAAGTTATATGGCATTCCTCCCCAGCTCCCCACTATTCCCATCTCATAGGTGTTGACTTTTGCTGAACAATAATTGGACAAACGTCTGTTGCACAGTCAAAGGTTGGTAGGCTTCAACTGAATTCAAGAGGCGGCTAGACATAGCACTTGGGGTGAACGGGATCAAAGGTTATGGGGAGAAAGCAGGATTAGGCTATTGAATTGGATGATCAGCCATGATCATGACGAATGGTGGAGCAGGCTTGAAGGTTCGAATGGCCTCCTCCTGCTCGTATGTTTCTATGAAACAACTCAAGCAATATCCAATGTTTGTCTATAGTACTTTCTAAAATGAAGGGGGTGGGGGGGTGGGGACTGTCACAATCTACTAAGACAACCTTGGCCTATTCGCTCCTTTAAATGCCTGGACAATGATTTATTCATTTTGCTCTGAGAGACTGTGGATTGAACCCAGGGACTTAGAAGAGTAGAAATACATATGGCATCTCAAACTTGTCCTGCCATTCAACAAGATCATGGCTGAACTGCCCAGGCCTCATTTCCTCTTCATTGCCCGCTCACTATAGCCTTAAACTGTCTGATAATTTTTTTGAAAATATCTACCTCGTCCCAATATTTTCCAGTGATTGAGCCTCCACAACTTTCTGGGTTACAGAATTTCAAATACTCACTACCCGCTGGGAGAAGTTTCTTTGCATCTCAGTTTTAAATAAGTGTCCCCTTATTCTGTTACTATGTCCCTACCTTGAAAGTCCCCACTTTTGGGGACATGGAGTCATTGAATCATAGAACATATACAGCATGGAAACAGACCCTTCAGTCTAACTCGTCCATGCCGACCAAGTTTCCCAAACTAAACTAGTCCCATTTGCCCAAGTTTGGCCCATATCCCTCTAAACATATTCTCAATGTCTACCCTGTCAAGGTCCCTCAGAATTTTGCACGTATGAATAAGATATATTTCTTTCTCATTTAATATCTCTTTCCTATTTAATCAGATGAGAGTAATGTCACAATAGATTGATCATGGAAACTTTGGGTTCAAAAGGTGCATTTTGTTTACCCTTGAGGGCTAATCCTCTCGATGGCACCATCCTACCTACTTGCTTGAACAATGAGTGCTGCTGATTGCACTGGCCTAGATATTGTTCCACATCTGTTTTCTTCTCCAGTTCGCCTGATAAAATGTGTCTCCATTCACAAATGAAAAGCAAGTGAATCAGGAAGCTTTAAACATGATCACTGAAAGCATAACATGAATAGGCTTAGGCTGACAAATGGCAAGTAACATGCGCGCCACAAAATAACCAGGCTATGACCATCACAAATAAGAGACAGACAGACAGACAATCTTACCACCGCTCCTTGACATTCAATGGTGTTACCATTACTAATACCTCAGTATCAACATCCTGGCGGTTATCAGAAGCTCAACTGGACTCACCACATAAACACAGTGGCTACAAGAGCAGGTCAGAAGCTAGGAATACTGAGGCGAGTAACTCATCTTCCTGAATCCTGAAAGCCTGTCCACCATCTACAAGACACAAGTCAGGAGTGTGATGGAATACTCCCCACTTGCCTGGATGAGTGCAGCCCCAACAACACTCAAGAAGCTTGACACCATCCAGGACAAAGCAGCCCGCTTGATTGGCACTACCTCCAAAAATTTCCACTCCCTCAACCACCGACACACAGTAACAGCAGTGTGTACTATCTACAAGACACACTTCAGAAATTCACCAAAGATCCTGAGACAGCACCTTCCAAACCCACGAACACTTCCATCTAGAAAGACAAGGCCAGCGGAGACATGGGAACACCGCCACCTTCTAGTTCCCCTCCAAGCCACTCTCTATCCTGAATTGGAAATATATCGTTTCTCCTTCACTGTCATTGAGTCCATATCCTGGAATTCCCGCCCTAAGGACATTGTGGGTCAACCTACAACAGGAGGACTGCAGCGGTTCAAGAAGGCAGCTCACCACCACCTTCTCAAGGGGAACTTGGGACAGGCAACAAATGCTGGTCAGTCAGCGACGCCTACATTCCACAAAATGACTTTTAAAAAAATAATATTTGGGGAAGTAAAAAAAAAACCCCACAGCTCTCAGTGCTGAGAAGCTCCTTCACTTTTTACGACACTCCATGGGATAGGGGGGCGTGTCGGGGGGCAGTAAAGTGGATGTGGTGTGGGGGGGGGGGGTGGTCTTTGCCACATTGTTATTTCTTTGTTCTTCTCCTGCTACAATCCTATCTTTGCTCTGCCTAAATCTCATTGACATCTCTGATGCCAGGAGAAATGTTTGGAAAGAATGGTTGCCTCGTTTCCCAGATGGTTCCCTGCAATTGATCAGGAAACACCCAGCTGTGACACTCCATTCTGGTTTATCCTTGTATATATCAGCTCCTCCATCTGACGCCTTCCCACTCAGTTAGGATCTGACTGACTGACAGAGCGAGTAGGAGTTTAAAGGTTTGTTTTCATTCCGTCTGAACATTAATGCTGTAAACCCTGTCCTGGCAGTGAATCAAGACTGAGCGGAGTTAAGAATTCTTAGGTCCTGAACAAAGAATATTTCACAGAATTACTCACCCACCCCACAACGCCCAATCATACTGATACATCAAATCCCAGCAACATGGAGAAGGCTAAGCTTCTACTCTCCAGTACTCCAGGGTGGCACAGTGGTTAGCACGCTGCCTCTCAGTGCCAGAGACCTGGGTTCGACTCCACCCCAGGTGACTGTCTGTTTGGAATTTGTATGTTCTCCCCGTGTCTGCATGGGTTTCTGTCAGGTGCTCCAGTTTCCTCCCACAGTCCCCACGGATGTGCAGGTTAATTATGCTAAATTACCCATAACGTTCATGGATCTGTAGGTGAGATGCATTAGCCATGGGAAATGCTGGGTTACAGAGTAGGGGGATGGGGACGATGCTCTTCAGAGAGTCAGTGCAGACTTGTTGGGCTGAATGGCCAGTTTCTACACTGTAGGGATTCTATGGATACTCAGAAGCACTGACATGCAGTTCACTGATCCACTCTGGGTTGTAATAGGTGGACTATCTGTTGGCTCACAGCTCATCAGCCAAAACAGGGTGCCCATATGTGGGTAGAGGCCCCTAGGCATGGTCTGTGTATGTCCTTGTATTAATCTGTCCCTAACTGTACAGGACAGCTGTTTCAGACATACTGAACACTTAAGTATGACCCAATTCCCAAAACAAGAAATTGCAGATCATAATTTTTATTTAACTCGTGCATGGGATCTGGGCAATGTCAGCAAGGCCACTATTTGTTGTCCATCCCTAATTTCCTTTGAACTGGTTGAAATGGTCTAGAGAATCAGAGGGCAGTTAACAGTCAGCCACATTGTTGTGGGTCTGGAATCACATATATAGGCCAGACCAGATTTTCTTCCCTGAAGAACATTAGTGAACCAGAAGGGTTTTTACAGCAATTGATACACAGTCACCATTAGACAAGGCTTTTTTTTTAATATAGATTAAGATTGGACTCTACACATTAACTCTGTTTCTCTCTTCACAGACGTTGTCAGAGCTGTTGAATTTCAACTGGCATTTTCTGCAAACATAGACAATTCAGACAAACAGTTCTCACTTTTTCTTCCTCTGAGGTATTCAGGGTTAACGGAAATTGGGTTGATGAACTATCAACTCTGACACACATTCGCATCTTTCTGAGTCCTCTTCTCTTTTCTTTCATACCTCATTGAGGTAACGTAACTCTTGACAGGAAATACATTCCTTTCCATTCAGTGGGTGGGAGGGTTGAGGTGGGGGAATGGTGGCGTGGGAGAGGAATATCTGGCCACCTGATCTGCAGCTTCTCATTTTCTGTCCCAGGAGAAAAATAAAATGATCCTAATTCTTCATTGAATCACATGTGCCAATAAACCCCATTTGTCAATGGGTCACAGAATTCCAACAGTGTGGAAATAGGCCGTTCGAGCCATTGAGACCACCCAATCCTCCGAAGAGCAGCCCATCCAGACCCAATCCCCCTGCGTTTACCATGGCTAACCCACCTAAACACTATGGACAATTTAGCATGGCCAATCCACTTAGCCTGCACATCAGACTGTGGGAGGAAACCAGAGCACCCGGAGGAAACCTACGTTGACACGGGGAGAAGGTGCAAACTCCACATAGACAGTTGCCCGAGGGTGGAATTGAACCCGGGTCCCTAGCACTGTGAGGCAGCAGTGCTAACCACTGAGCCACTGTGCTGCCTCTTGAGTCAAAGGTCACTTGAGGAAAGTTGCTAGAATCTGTACACAAGCATGACTTCAGGAAAGGGGGAGCAAAGGGAACTGTTGCAGATCAAGAACAAAGGAAGAAACTGTCTTGACCCACTCAGGATTGAGTGGCAACATGAAAAAAAAGGGAATGTCTCCTCTCCGGGAGGTTCCAGAACAAAACGAGCAGAACAAATTTACATCTGGACAACAGAATTCACTTCCTCAGAACTTCCCGCAGTGTAGTCACTGGGAGTATTGCAGGCAAAAACACCAGGAAATGTGTAATCAGCAAGATTCAACAACCAACAATGTAATAACTAACAAGTTAATCGGATGTTACTGACTGAGGAAGAAATGCCATTGGCAGGATAGTTGGTTTGTGACACCAACAGAACAGGCTCAATTCCCAAGCCGGCTGAAGGTCACGAAAGCCCTGTCTTCTCATCTGAGGCATGGTGACTCTCAGTGAAATTCACCAATGGTTGTCTCTCTCTCTCTCTCTCTCTCTCTCTAATAAGGGAGAGCAGCTTATGGTCTTCTGGGGCTATGGTGACTTCCAAACGTCAGTCAGGACAATTAGTGGATGCGTCAACTTAAGCTTTGAGTGTTAGATAGATTTATATGTTTTTGACCCAGTGAAATGTTGCCAAAAGGCCATACCAGATGATCACATGATATTCGGTTACTATCATGCATGTTGCTACAATTCAGTTCCTTGTTCAACTTCACACAGCATGTTATCCCTCCTAAACACAAGGAGTTGGGAGCAGACAGGTTCAGGATCAGGGTTGCAAGTGAAGCTGGTTTGAAGAAATACTGGTCTCTCGCACAGCTCCTGAACAAGCAGCAAAGTTGCCTTAGAGATGAACATGCACATGGGAAAGGGAAGAGTTTTCCAGTCTAGGGCAGAATGGCTTCAGTGAGGTAAGGCCCAGTGGTTGGCTTCTAGCCTCAAAAGCACAATATGTCTGTGACCACTGTAGGCCCGACTTGGAAGTACTCAATATCCCTCAGTGATAAATGGGAAAATGTTCCCATATCTTCCACTTGTACAGATAGCCCAACCTGCCCATTAGTGAGAGGGGTATAACACTACACTATAAGTCACTATTTATCAATAAACAATTTCTCTCTCTAAGTTCCTAGAGAGCGTGATGTAGTCCCTTGAAGACAGGAGTAACATGATGCTTGAGGAACCTTAAATAGGACAAGCTCTACAACAGTTGCTCACAACAAAAAAAAAATGCAGCATTGTTAAATCTGGTGCTGTGCAAATTGCTGACTTTAAAATAAACCATTCAAAATTGACAGTTGTTTTCATAAACTGGTTACAGATGCTGCAAGTGCCGAACTGGCATTCAATTAAATAGCACCAGATTAAAACTTACATTTAATCCTGCAGTTTGAGAGAATAAAAAAGACACAGCCTCAGGTGAGTCAGAAACTCTATACAGTAATACAGTATGGAATCCTTACCATACTAAATGGCCAGGAATTCCAAACAGTCAAACAGTCAGTCATTCACTCTTACCTTGCAGAATAAAGAACTCCATACAGTTACAGTGAATTCAGTGGCCAATGAATTAAAATAGTGCTTAAATTAACATCCTCACGTCAGTACTTCAATGTAGCAGCTACCAATGTGAATGTTGTCACACAAGCTACCATCTCTGGCCCAAGTGCAACTTGCAACAGAACACTTTTGCAGGTCCTTTTTTTCCAATCACACAATCCTACAGCAGCCCTGTCCCTTAGTGTCTGGCTCCTCCACTGGTGCCTTAAGTTTTAATAGTGGAGGGTCCCCATAGGGCTGGTAATAGTAGAGCGAGTTCCCATTGGAGCTGACCTCTGATGTCCTCGAGCCCACCGGGCTGCCCTTTGGTGGAAGCTGGTCACTTTCCAAGATGCTTCCCAGGCCATTGGCCAGAGCTGCTTCCTGAGAAAGCTGCTTCTTCAGCTTGGAGGCTGCTCGCTGTCGCTTCAGCTCCGACAGCGTCTGGCAGTTCTTGTCCCTGTTGGGCTGCGGTGAAGGAGCAGGGCAGGAACTGTCCGGGGGAACCTGGCCATTTGCGGTTTCCTCCGTGGGGGATATTCTCAAGGATTCAGTGTCCGACGACGACCTCCGCGAAGTTGAGATTGAGAGTGAAGGACTGTTCTTTCCGCCAATATCTGCCGACTCTTCTGTAGGCCCAAATTGTTCCATCACACCTCTTTGGGAGTTGGATGCCAAACTCTGCATTTAAAGCAGGCATGAAAAAAAAACCACAGTTTATTGCCTGTAAAAACTACAAAAACAGACCTTAAAAAAGTACCTAATTTCCGTAGTATTCTAACTGCTGGAGGTGAGGGTTTACATAGTGTAATTGTGATTCTAAATGCATTGGCAGGGGAAGCAGATTCAAAAATAACTTTCAGGAGGGACTTCCATCAATTCCTGAAAAAAGGAAATTTGTAGAGAGCTATTGCTGTAAAAGTAGGGAGTGGAACGATATGGATAGCTCACGAACAAAAATAAAGTTGCTGGAAAAGCTCAGCAGGTCTGGCAGTATCTGTGGAGGAGACAACAGAGTTAACGTTTCGGGTCCGGTGACTCTTCCTCAGATATGGATAGCGGTCTACAGAGCTGCTACAGTCTTGATGGACCAAAAAACCTTCTACTAAGGGGCTCATTCTATTATATTTTCCCTCTGCTCTCAAGGTGCTGACTAATCTTGGAATACAATTCAACAGTGAGAGTTTTCGTAGTCATCATCAGCACTATCTAAGAGTAGAAGCAGTGTAGCCAAACTCAACATTCAGGACATTCCTGGGGAAATAATCCAGAGTGATTTTCCCCTGCTCTTCCCTAGTTCAGGAACACTGTAGTATTTCCAGCCCCATTTTGGTTGGTTTAGCTACTGACAACAGACAAGAGGTTAAGCCTCAGACAATTCTCTGTCCATAGTGCTCAGCTGCATCATGCTAAACATGGAGCTGTTGGAGGATCTTGATATTGCTTTTAGCTTGCCATCTTGTCTTATAAGCAGGCTGAGTAATTCAGACTGACAGAGTCCTGGAATGATCTATTGTGTCCTCCCAGGAGGCACAATCAGAGAAACACAAGATTTTGATGATTATTGTCACTCATGTGGATAGCATAGAAGAGAGACTTGAAAAGGAGTCTAGATTTTCCCATTTAAATGGTCATTTCTATGGCATAATTCTACAACATGGTACATCTTCTGTCTAGTTCACTATCAGATGAATTGTGCTGCTACAAATCTTATGGATCCATTGTTCTTTTTATTCTGTCTCAATAAATCAACTAATTTAAAGAGCATCATCATCTTTTTCAGTCCAAGATTGAGGGAAATTGTTAAAAAAAAAATTGTCCTTAGGCTGTGGGGGGTTTGGGGGCAGGGCCAACAATTGTTGTTCATTTTTAATTGCCCTGGAGAAGATGCCCACGAGCTGCGTTCTTGCACCACTGCAGACTTTGGTAACTGGGACACACACACAATGTGGAAGGGAGTGCCAGGAATTTGACCCAGTGATAGTGAAGGAACACTGACAAAATATCCAGGTAAGGATGATGCGTGATTTGGAGGAGGTGAGCCTGTGTGTTTGCTGCTCTTGACCTTCCAGATGGTTGTGGTTGTGGGTTTGGAAGGAGCTACCAAGGGGGACTAAGTGAGTTGCTGAATTGGATGTTACAGACTCTACGGAGTACTGTTGGTGGAGGGAGTGATTGTTTGAAGGGGTTAATGGGGTTCTGATTAAATGAGCTGCTTTTGTCCTGGTTGACGCTGAGCTTCTCGAATGTTATGGGAATGTTATTGTCATCAGGCAAATGGAGAGTACCTCATCACACTCCTAACTTGTGCCTATCGGATGGTGGACAGGCTTTGAGGAGTCAGGAGGAGAGTTGTTCGCTACAGCATTCCTTGATCTGGTTAGCCACAGTATTTATACATCTGGTCTAGTTACACTTACGATAAATAGCACTTCCCAGGATGTTAATGGTGACCCCTCTCCACCCAATGAAATTTACATCTATGTGCAATACAATGCTGTCTTAGAAAATAAATCCACAAAAGAAACTCCAAGTAACGTGATTATGGAACATCAGTATTAATTCTGCAACCATAGGTTAATTTGTATTGTGGTTGCTTGCCACCTAGTGGAATGGCTGAGAACCACAGCACAAGGATCAATATGAAAGCACCAACTCTGAATGCGATGGGACGTGATTGTAGTGGCTCGGATTTTCTGATGGCCAGTCATTATTCCAGCGATAATGGGAGTTGCGCAGAGGACCTTGCAAATCCCCATCATAACAGACTCCAAAGGAACTGCCCTAGAAATTGAAGGTTCCATTGGAAAATCCACCTATGCTTGGAACCCTTCGAAAGTATCTATTTCAATTGGACAATTTGGAAAGTTCTGATGAGATTAGGAAAAGTTAGACTATTAAATACATCAACTAACTCCTGAGTACCCTGTTCAACTGATTCCATTTTATTGCACATACCCCCAACTGCACCTCCCCTGGTCTACTTACTGTCCCAGACCCTGACCTGACAACCGGGTCTCTTCTCTGGGATCCGTCACTGCTATGCCACTCCAGACTTATCACTCCACTTACCCTGTTTCAGACCCAATACCCCCTCTCCCAAACTCCAGACTCACCCTTCCCTTCCCCAACTCTGGACCTGATCTGCCTCTGGCCTTCCCCCACCCCTTTCCCATTCTCTTGCGTCACCCTCTCCTGCTCCAGACCTGGGTCCTCCCTGTTCTGAACTTAATCTGTCTCCAACACCCCCTCATCTGCTGCCAGCCCAGCCCACCTTGGGACCTAACACCCACCCTCCTCTGACTCCAGCCAGTCCCAATTTCCCCACCTGCTCCAACCTACCCTTACCACTTACCTGGCCCCATTGCCATTTTGCACCCTACCCATCAGTCACTCTATCTCCCTAACCACATGGGATACTACTCACCTGGCACCCTCCTTACCTGATACACAAGTCCCTGACCCACCAGCACCCTCTTTGTCTGATATACTAATCCCCCACCCAACTGGCACACCCTTTACCTGAAACACTAGTCCCCTACCCATCTGGCACCTTACCCTCCTTTCACCCTAACCTCACACCTACCTTATGTACTTACCGTTTGATGACAGCTATCGAAGTGGATCTCTGAGATTCTGGACCTTTAAACTTCAGAAATGGCAGCTAACTGCTATGAGAAGGGGTGAGGTTTGTCCTCCCCTGACAGTTTTGTGTTACAAATTAACCGTCAGAACGGAAGTATTGCTCCGCATTTCTGAAGGAGCTTGGATCTGAATCTCCTGTCGGAAATGCAGAGCTCTCTCCTTTTGTAAAAAGTGAAGGGTGGAATGGTGCTCTGTGGGAGATTGCCACTCCTTGGAAAATCTGGTCCAACATATATTTTTAGTAGTGTCAGAAGCATACTGAACACCTTTTTGCTTTCAAATATTCATTTAAAAGTTCTATTTATCTTTGATTTGCATAGATATTTGGAGATCAATTTAATTCTCACACTTGGCAGATGCCAGTATATAAAATACTTTAGGGGTATTTATCCACTGCTTCCTGATTTGTCTAATTTTAATATTAATCACTGCTGATAAAAGGATCACCCCTTTCAATGCTGAATTGTTGGTTATATTTAGTCTGAGAATAATGTTGTATTTGCACCATGCCTTTACAGAAAATACATTTAAGGAGTCCACGTGCTGTGTATATACAATGTCGTGATTTCAGCTACCTGTTGGTTTGCTGTGGGTTTGTAATCTACACACAGAAATCGGTTGGCTGCAGTAATGTCTGCTTCATAACTTTTAAAGTGTTTTACTGTTTTAAATAAACTCACCCACATAGTTAATAAATCCCTGATGATCAGGCCATTATTATTTACATGTCAGCGGACAGACTTTTGGTCTCTCAGGAATTAAGGAATACACGAATGGGTGGGAAGACTATGAGAATAGGAACAGAAGTAGGCCATTCAGCCCCCTGAGACTGCTCCATCATTCAATAGGACCATGGCTATTCCAACATTCCTCAAGTCTGCTTTCCTGCCTTTTCCCCGTAACCTTTGATTCGTGATGGACCAAGAATCAATCCATCTCAGCCTTAAATATGCACAAGGAGTCTGCTCCCAAAAGTTCACTGTGGAAAGGAGTTCCAAAGATTCACAACCTCCTGACAGAAGAAATTCCTCCTCATCTCATTCTTAAATCGGCGACCCTTTATCCTGAGAACATGGAGCGAAGGCAGGAGCACATTCATGGTCATTTTAATTGGCTGTATGGTTTGTTCTGCTTCCATTTCTTACATTCTTATTTAAAATGTGTCTGTTTTAACCCAGAGAGATCAGCTCCAATAATGTCATTAGGTCCAATTAAGATATTTTAGAATCATAGAATCCTTACAGTGCAGAAAGAGGCCATTTGGCCCATCAAGTTCTGTTCCGACCCTTCGAAGAACATCCCTCCCAGAGCCAGCCCACGACTGTATCCATTTCCCATGGCCAATCCACCTAACCTGCACATCTTTGGACTGTGAAAGGAAACCCACACAGACACGGAGAGGTTGTGTAAACTCCACACAGGCAGCTGCCTGAAGCTAGAATCGAACCTGGGTCCCTGGCGCTGTGAGGTAGCAGTGCTAACCCGAGCCACCATGCTGCCTTCCAAAACTTGACTTTAATCTGAAACGTGACAGTGAGTGGTGGGGCCAGCAGATGGGAAGACAGACAGTGCTAAACTTACCAAGAACATTAGCAGGATCCATACAAAGAGACAGATAAGAGCTTAGTTTAATACCATGTCCTGTTGGATGATAGCTCTGACAGGTAAATAGATTATTCAAAGTCTTTACCGGGGTCACATTCTCCTGATCTTTGCATGAGTCTTTATCTTCGCCATCACTGCCTACGATTTCCTTTTCCATTTCCTTCTGCCCCATCTGCTGCCAGATAATTGCCTCCTGCTCGCATTCTTTCCTGTACAAATTATTTCGATCCGACACACTTGCTCGCCGCACCACCGTCCTAAAAGGAAACAGGATACTGGCATCACTATCTGCACCAAGCTTCAATTTAGAACTATCCTTGGTCTACCAGGATTGGATCAACGCACAAGTACATACTGTGCACACACTGGGGCTAGTCCAGTCCTTAATTTAACACACAGGACACAAGCTTGGAGTTCTTAGTTCCCTCACTTTAAGGAAAGGAATATTAACAGTTGTTTGGTAGCACACAACTTGCGTGTTGCTGAAAATGTCATCTTTTGTCAAAGCTTTTCATCTTTCACTCTTCAGGACAATTCGCCATAAATACTAAAATAAAGAGAAACAATATTTTTACACTATATGACAAATAAATGCTATCTGAAGTGAATTTCAATTGATAGATGCTTAGCTACCTTTTAAAATGTATCTGTGTAACGTCTAAACTACTGTGCAGGATGTCAAATACCACATTCCACTATAAACCTTCCTCCAGCCTGAAAAATACCCATTAACCATTACACTATTTCACTATTTCCTATCATTCAGGCAATTTACTATTTATGAGATAGTAGGAACTGCAGATGCTGGAGAATCTGAGATAACAAGGTGTAGAGCTGGATGAACACAGCAGGCCAAGCAGCATCAGAGGAGCAGGAAAGCTGGCGTTTCGGGCCTAGACCCTTCTTCAGAAAAAAA